TATATACTTTTATATATATATATATATATATATATATATATATATATATATATATATACAGTTGATATCAGAATTATTAGCCCCCCTGTTTGTTTTTTACCCAATTTCTGTTTAATGGACAGAAGATTTTTTAACACATTTCTAAACATAACCGTTTTAATAACTCATTTCTAATAACTGACTTATTTTATCTTTGCCATGATGACAGTAAATAATATTTGACTAGATATTAGATTATTATTATTAGATATAAGAATTATTATTAGATATAAGACACTTCTATGCACCATAAAGTGACATTTAAAGGCTTAACTAGGTTAATTAGGTTAGGTTAGGGAAATTAATCAAGTCATTGTATAAAGATGGTTTGTTCTGTGGACTATCAAAAAATATATAGATTTAAAGGGCTAATAATTTTGACCTTAAAATGTTCTTTAAAAAATTCAAAACTGCTTTTATTCCAGCCGAAATAACGAAATAAAATAAAAAAAATAAGACTTCTCCAGAAAAAAAAATTATCAGGCATACTGTGAAAATTTCCTGAATCTATTAAACATCATTTGGGAAATATTTAAAAAAGAAAAAAAATTCTGACTTCAACTGTGTATATATATATATATATATGCCACAAAATCAGTTCAAGCGGTATAGAGCAGCATAAAGACAAAAAGTGTCAATATTTACCTCAAGTCAGTTCATTGTTGGTTCAAACTAAAAACAAAAGTGCAGTCAAAATAAAACATACTGACTATATTCGATATAATAACCAAGTAAGGCAAACATATTTGCAATCTGTATAAATTTAACACCCAATGCTACTGATACTGAGGCTTGTAGCGTGAAGGTCGTGTCCCTTTGGTCACACATAGCAAAATATTAGTATTTAATTTTGAAAGAAAGAATATAGTTTGAGCAAACATTTCAGATATGCAAGTTCCATGTAGTGTTATAAAATGATAACACTATGCATGGCACATTACACATTTCATAACTATATCTGATTGTGTATACTTGCATGTTTTATGGCTCTAAAATAAAAAAGTTTCAAGCTAAGCCATACTTGACGAGAAATTGTGACATAACATCAAGAACAAAGAAAAGCTTTTATTGAATGATATTTTTAAGCAAGTTTTTTTATAATGCTACAATATGTTAGCAGGAATTCCACAATTATTTTGTGCACCTCTAACCACTAAAACCAGTTTACAAAAGCATTATTGCAAAAAAAAAATAAAAATCTGTTTTTCTCTTTGCCCTTAGATTCCATGCTGGAACTTGCCTTGCACAAAGTAGCTTTAAAGCCAGTCTACTCTCACCTTTACGTGTGTCTGAAGACAGCACGCAGGGATGATGGCACTCTGCAGCGTTTAGAGGCCAACAAGAGCATACTGGAGGACCGCAACCTGGAGGAGCTGGAGGGTGCAGCGGGGGCTGGGGTTCCTGATTCCAGCGTGATGGAAAAGATCCTGCAACGATGGACCGCAATGCATGAAGCCTACTCGCCTAGTAAAAAAGTTGGCACCCTGCTCAAAGTCTGCAAGAATATCTACCATAGCATGAATGCTAATGCTAAACCTGGTGAGTGAAACATAGGCTACTGTTGAGGCACAATGAGATCTATTCCAAAACATACCTACGATCATGAAAATGCCCATCAGATCATTTATTGTACCCTCCTGAATATGCCCCTGTTTTGGCTCAGAGGACAGTGTAGCTGTTTGTAGCATGTGCCTTTCATGAAAATGAGCTGGTTGTACCTGCCCACTGTTCCCACATGCGTGTCGGCTTCTACTGCTTCATGTCAGATAAACAACACAGTTAGCCCTTTCACACAGTGATACCTGTAAATATCCAGAAAATTTCCAAAATGGCTTTACCGGTAAATGAAAAAAAGCGCTGTTTATACAGGCAAGAACGTTACGGAATTTTTCCGGAAAGGACCATTCATTAACCAGAAATGAACTCTTAAAGGCTGCGTTTGAATTTGTAAACATTTGACTACATTACAAACTCTGTAGATGGATCAGTATCGTGAACATCTTTGATGAAAACATATAGAGAAACACTTTCGCATGTTGAGATGTACATGATATGTGTGTGCTGTCGCTCACCGGCTGCTTCACGTGCAAGCGCGATGCCTCACGCAACTGAAGGAAGCAGAGTTTGAAGGTAAACAAACAACGGCTTATCATAAGCATCTTATGGATAATTATTTACACAGTTGGCATTAAGAAGAAATAGAAAAGTTATCTGACAAACATCTAGCAGCTAAATGTGTCTGGAAAAATATTTAAAGGCTTTCATTTTCATAAGCAAGGCGGACATGAATGCGTCTGAGTGTTCTGATTGGCTAAAGTAGTCACTTTCCGGCAATCGTCCTTCTGCATTTGCACAGCGCAGCATTCCGGTAAATTACTGATAATGTTACTACTTCTCTTTCCGGAAATTGCCGGAACAAATTTACCGGTATTTTCAAAAAGGGCCTGTTCACACATACAGACCTTTCCGGAAAATTGCTAGTAATTTTCCGGAAAGGTCTGTATGTGTGAAAGGGGCTAGTGATAGAGACAGACACGGATGAAGCAAATTCAGGATTCACTTTATTCATTCATTCATTCATTTTCTTGTCGGCTTAGTCCCTTTATTAATCCGGGGTCGCCACAGCGGAATGAACCGCCAACTTATCCAGCAATTTTTTATGAAGCGGATGCCCTTCCAGCCGCAACATCCACACACACATTCACACACACACTCATACACTATGAACAATTTATCCCACCCAATTCACCTGTACCGCATGTGTTTGTACTGTGGGGGAAACCGGAGCACCCGGAGGAAACCCACACGAAGGCAGGGAGAACATGCAAACTCCACACAGAAACACCAAATAAGCTGAGGTTCGAACCAGCGACCTTCTTGCTGTGAGGCGACAGCACTACCTACTGCGCCACTGCCTCGCCCGGATTCAGTTTATGGATTATGTATTTATTTTATGATTTAATACAGGGGTCTCAAACTCGCGGCCCGCGGGCCATTTGCGGCCCTCAGTGCAATATTTTGTGGCCCGCGCCGACCGCAATACACTGACAGAATCAGCGGAGCGGGGAGAACAAAGGGGGCGGGGATGCCGGTGACGTCACCACGCACCCCGCCCCTTTGTTAGACGCTGTGACGGGCGGGAAGTGTTAGAAGGGAACTCGCGCCGGCCAGAACCAAGGTAAGCTGTTCCCGCCCCTGCCTGCCACTTAGCTACCTATCTGCAGCCTGCTACCTACCTAGCTACAGCCTGCATCTTATATATATTATAGGTAGATACAGACTGGTACAGACTGATGTGACTTGAGTGGGGTGGGGGTGTTTTATTTCTACATATATACGCCTTTTTTTAGGTGAGGGAATGGAAGTTTTGAGAGAGTTCCCCCACTTTTTCCCCCACTTGAAGCGCTGTCAAGTCTCTGGCAGCAAGAAGTAGGCAAAAGATGCCATGTTTAGAAGAACTGTTCATAATCTTCACTCAATGTTCTATTAATGTTCAGGACACTTTATGTTCAGAAGAAATAATTAAAACTGTTAATAATGACATTTGAGGACTTTTTTTTGTGAAATCCCTTATGCGGCCCAGCCTCACCTAGACTTTGCCTCCTGCGGCCCCCAGGTAAATTGAGTTTGAGACCCCTGATTTAATACATTTGTGATGGAGTTTAGGATACATCTGGTCGTGAATGCACGCAATTTACAGATGCAAAGCAAAAGAAACTGTTATGTAAGTTTGACACCCAGTGGTTGAACTAAGGATTGCCCTCCTGGATCAAAACACATTTTCACTCAGCTCCTCCTCTGACCAGTCGACACAAGTGCAGGTTGCCAGATTGACGTGTGTGCGCCTGACTATTGAGCCTAAAGGCTGATTTAAAGCTGATTTGAATCGTTTTCTAACTAAAAGCAAAGGCACGTGATAGAAAAAATATTTTCCATACTAAAGTTAGTTTTTGTCCTAACCAACATCAGACATTTCTATTTTAGATACAGCTTCTATTTCTGACAGGTGAACAACAGGATAAACTGTGATCACCTCAGGTGCTGAGGTGTTGAATATTAATAATGTGAGTTTAAATGTCATTTATTGCCACACTACTGAAATCAGCAGCATCTCTCACCTCAGATCTTAAAAATAAAGCAAACAATTTGAAATTAAACTTTAGAACTTTGACTATAAATATCAATCATTTAGCATGTACATATAATAAGGTTTAATGCATATTAATTAGATTGTAAACCTTACTGTTATGACCCATGATCGAAATATATATTTAGGAATTGAAAAGGGGTAAGATTGAGAAGACCAAAAGAATAACCTAATGGCAAAAAGGTGGCAAGAGAAACACAGATTAACAAATTAGCCCCGCAAAAGATTTATTGCTCCCACAAATGACCATATATTTACAATATGAACAAACACAAAAATAATGCAACAATAATAATAATAATTTTGTACAACCAAGACAAACAGAGTACAGTTCATAACACTTACCATTTGGCTGGAGTCCAGTGTGTTATTCTGTGCTTTTGAATGGCTGTGCTTAAATTTCTGTCGTGTTTCATCTGGTACAAACAGCCAAATTGCTTATTACTGCAAATCTTGTCACAAAGTGTGTTGTTGAAACACGGGGTTACAATGTAACCTGCTCAGCTAATGTTTACATTCAGAATATTTCTATTATTTGCTAATTAATAATCACCTCATGTGAAACTATTAATCAGCATCAAATTTCAGAGTCAGCTACTGTCCACCAGAGGTCGCATTTTGGTCACGAACCCATGCTTTGAGAGCCTTCCTGACTAAATAAATCAAATACGCCATTTTCCAACAAGGCAACTCAAGGTGTTAAAATTTAATTGGCTAAACTGGCATTGGGTGGATTTATTCATTCATTTTCTTTTCGGCTTAGTCCCTTTATTAAACTGGGGTCATCACAGCAAAATGAACTGCCGAATAATCCAGCACTTGTTTTCCACAGCAGATGCCCTTCCACTTGCAACCCATCTCTGGGAAACCCATCCATACACACTCTTTCACACTCGCACTATGGACAATTTAGCCTACCCAATTCACCTGTACCACATGTCTTTGGAGAGAAACCGAAGCACCCAGAGGAAACCGACGTGAACGCAGGGAGAACATGCAAACTTCACACAGAAATGCCAACTGACCCAGCCGAGGCTCGAACCAGCAACCTTCTTGCTGTGAGGCAACAGCACTACCTACTACGCCACTGCGTCGTTGGGGAGGTTAAAAGAACCAAAATTAAGTCAGCCGTTCCAGCACTGAAAATACATTTTCAAAACAGAATATCTGACTTCAGCATTGTTTTTCAGATAAAACAAGAATGTTCACTTAGCAATAGCATGTTTCTGAAATATCTGCAAACATATGATGGTATTTTTATGCTTTAGAAAACTCAAAAACTTAAATGCAGCACCTTTAATTAAAGCCAATAGCATTTCATTGATACCACAGCCATGTCAATCAGTCATTGAGCTAAAGCTAAAGTCTATAATAGTAATGCTAAATCTTTTCTCCACTTTAAAATACATGATTTTTTTGTAAAAAAAATGGGTGTAATATATTTAGGGCCCTATTTTACATGCGCCGAATAAAATGCAAGAGGCGTTTGCCCTGACGTGCTGCTAATTTCAGACCAGTGCAACCTTAATTTTCCCATTTTGCGCCACGTTGTTTAAATAGTAAATCCATTTGTGACACTTTATGGACTCATGGGTGTTCCGGTCTAGAAAAGAGGTGTGTTAAGGCACATTGTTGGCATGTTGCTATTTTGAGGAACTAAAATTGATTGTACAATAGACTAGCTGAAAGCAGGTCTAAAGTCCAGCGCAGAGCGCGTTAGTTGTGCGCCTCGCTTTCACATTACTTAATACACACAGGATGTACAGCAATATGCAAATATCTTTACAAATGAAAAAGAATTAAAGGAATTAAAGTATTACAAAAATGATTACTTTCTACATAACTATAAAAACCACTGCCTCCATGACTTCTTCATCTCGGGGGGCTTTTTTCGGTGTATTCACAACAACTTGCTTTTGTATATTGTTATTATTATTATTAGTTGTAGTATTTATAATATGCATATTTATATTTGCTTTATTTTTTACAAGCTTAGATGTGCCCACCTGTCAGGTTTTGCACCATATGGGGCATTGGACGCGTGTTTAGATATAACTCAGTTTTTTCAACACTTTCGGTTATTATTACTCATTTTTTCATTTGCTGAATTTAGAAATACGTTTTTACAACATGTTTTAGCATCACTGATATTCCTCTTGTCATTAAGTCTAATGAACCTGGAGAAGTTCAGTTCAACACTTATCTGCTGCCAATTTTTAATGAATTGGTGAGCTCTCAGATGAGAATAAGTGACTGACTTCATATCTTGAAGGATGGGACGATTTAGCTATTACAGCAGATTTAATTGGTCAGGTTATTTGATGAGAAGCGGAAATGTGAGGTGACATCATAAAAAATGTTAATCCATCTTAGCAGAAGTGAAAAGCTGTGAATTTTGAAGGCTCATATCTTGCAAATGCTTAAATCTTAATGCAAATTGTGTTATTGTTTTGCAGCACAATTGATTATACAGTAGATTACCTTAAGGAGCCCATATTATGGGTTTTTGAAAATGCCCTTCCATGTAGTGTGTAACGAAGCTCTAAGTGAAGTGAAGTATCCAGCTAAGGCTTAAATCTGTAAGTGTACAGTGTTTAAAACTGTTGATTCAGCTATAAAAGAGTCGACTCATAGTGCTTCAAACGAGTCGCCTTGATAACGATTCATTAGGTGTTTCGCCATGACGTACTAACGAAACCAAGTTATTCACATGCACGCGCAAACCCGGGAGATTTGAAACCTGCGGCCCCGCCCTCTGACATAGAAACCCAGACACACACACCGACACACACACACAAACATGCCGGTGTTACGGTTTAACTGGTGACCGTGTTAACTGGTGTCCCTTTCCAGATGTAAGCTATTCACGTTTGCAGATTCGTCACTTTTTCACAGCAACAAAACATGTCCATACCAAATAAAGATTCTTATTACTTGGTGTCAGTGTCATTGTGAGCATTATTGATTTTATTATCTGTGTAGCAGAACAGTATATAACCAAAATTAATCTAAAAAAATAATCAGAATTTACGTCTTTAACAGGATTCGATCCCATGTAGTGAAAAGGCTAAGCACACACATCAATCAACTTACAACTTACAACATGCTTTGCTGTGGTTGTGGACCCGTGTTGACATGTTTCCATCGAGGTTAACATGTTTACATGTTGTTTAGTTACATGTACTCACGTTAACGTGTTTCTACAAACTCTCCCGCTGATAGAATAGCTCTCAATGACTAAACGATGCTTCATCAGTTGCTCAAACCATGTTTTTTCTTAGTTGTAGACTCATGTGTACCTGTGTCTTAGGAGTCGTGTTAACTAGTGACCCATGGTCACACATGACATGTAAATAAAGATTTTACAAAAAAAAAAGAATACAATGATATTATTATGCAACATATTATGTCTAATATATCTAATATATATTTCATATATAATAAAAAATCGCAACAGACTGTCATCGGTCCAATCAGCGCAGATTAGCTTCGCGCTAAGGAGGGGTTTGGGAACCAATGAATCATTGGACGATTCATACGGGAGTCGCTATGATAATTAGGCAAAAATAAATGCAAATTATAAGACCATGAAAGTGTTTTTGACCTTACATGCATATTAGACTGTTGTTGGAGACCCTTACAACTAAGATATGACCCTATTTCATGTATAATATGGGCTCTTTAACAGTAACATATTGTCACATAGCACCTAAAAAACTTTAGCTTTGATTTCAGGGGACCTTTACTGATTTAATTCAATTCAATTCATGTTTATTTATATAGCGCTTTTACAATGTAGATTGTTTCAAAGCAGTTTAAAATAGAAGTTAGTTTAAGGTACTGAAAGAATTTTAATAGCTGTCTTGATCCCAACAAAATACTGAAGTGCTTGTACATGCTCTGGTAATATCAAGGATTGATTATTGCAATTCCCTCCTATCTGGTATCCCTCTTAACCAACTTCACAGATTACAGATAATCCAGAACTCAGCAGCTAGGGTAGTCACCCGCTCGCGTGCTTCTGAACACTTAACTCCAATTCTCTTTCACTTGCATTGGCTTCCTGTATTTTTATCGTGTACATACTAAAATTCTTTTATTAACTTACAAAGCTCTTCACAACCTTGCACCCGATTACCTCTCTGATCTTCTTCACTGGTACACTCCTCAGCGCTCAATGAGATCTTCTGTGGCTGAACCGTTGTCAGTTCCAAATTTTAAGATGAAGTCATATGGTGGCAGGGCTTTTAGCTGCATAGCACCACAGTTATGGGATTCCCTGCCGTTGGATATTCGTCAGGTGGACTCTCTCCAATTTTAAATCCCAGGTTTAAACCTTTGGGCTCTATTTTGACGGTCCATGCACAGAGCGCAAAACGCAGGGCGCAAACACTTTCAGGGCGTGTCAGAGCGCATTTTTGCTAATTTACGGACGGGAAAATGCAATTTGCGCCAAGGCGCATGGTCTAAAAGGGTTGAGTTTATTTTCTTAATGAGTTATAGGTGTGTTTTGAGAATAAACCAATTAGAGAGTCTCATCTCCCATTTCCTTTAAGAGCCAGCTGCGTCGCGCCAAGAGCGCATTCGCTATTCACAGGACGCAAAGCAAGTCTAAGTGAAAAAAATTTGCATTTCACAAGCAAACAGTTAACAGTTTTTTAACAGAAAACTGTTAAACAGAGCATCCACTGCGAGAAAATGGAACTGCTTCCATATTAGCTCTTGAATAGGGAAACCTTTACGCACAGACATCAATTAGTCTATAAATAATTAATTTTATTTGTTAAGCGCAAAGATTTGTTTCAAAACT